TCTTAGTCCTTTGACTGAAGAATTTTGCAGGCAAGGAAAAAGAAGGTTGGGGTCAGGGAAAACAATTGAGAACATGTAGCAACATGTAAGTGGAGAGGGGAATGCAAAGTGCTAAATCAAAGTTGTTGTATTGGGGTTCTCTAGAGAGACAGAACTAATAGGATATAAAGAGAAACAGCAATATGAAAAGATATTTATTAGGAGAATTGGCTCATGCAGTTATGAAGGCTGAGAAGTCCCACAATAGGCCCTCAGCAAGCTAGAGAACCAGTAGCATAGCTCAGTGCAAATCTGAAGGCTTCAGAACCAGGAAAGCCAATGGTGTAACTTTCAGTCCAAGGCTGAAAGCCTGAGAGCCTGGGTGGGCAGGGTGCTGCTGGAGCAAATCCCAGAGAGCTTGGAGCTCTGATGTCCAAGGGCAGGAGAAGAAATATGTGTCAGCTCCAGAATAGAAAGAATTGACCTTTCCTCTGCCTTTGTGTTCTAGCCTGGCCCTCAGCCAATTGGATGCTTCCCACTCACATGGGGTGAGGACGATCTTCCTTATACAGTTCACTGATTTAAATGCCAACCTTTTCCACAAACACCCTGACAAACATATCCAAAAAAATGCCTAAGCAGCTTTCTGGATATCCCTTAATCCAGTTAAGCCAGACACCTAAAATTAACCATCACAGTTGTTAAGAACAAAATAAAAAGCATCTATTCAAATTAATAAACGTGTACAACTTAATAAACTTGTACAACAAAATAAAAAGCATCTATTCAAATTAATAAACTTGTACAAGTATTTTGAGCTGCTTTCCTCAGCCCTAAGGTATATTTTATGTATTGTATATTTTATTATATAATATAGCTAAAATATTTCTGAAACTTGAAATATTATTGAGTAGTTCCCTGAATAGAGAATAATATAAAGTCCCTACAATAATTTTGAAATATATATACTTTTCCTGACTTTGCCTCAATATGGTCATGAGACTACTTTTCTAGGTCTAATAGCCTGACACTTTCCAGTTTCCAGTCAAACTAAATATAACTAATAATAAAGTAGATGAAAGCTAGTTTTGAAAACACAGCTTTATTAATTTAAATGATTTTTTCATATTCATTTAATATTTGAGTTATTTAACATTCCTATTCTATCCACTCCAAAGAGGTCTTATAATTGTTTTTAATAAGAGGGATTTTAGCCGGGCGCGGTGGCTCACGCCTGTAATCCTAGCTCATTGGGAGGCTGAGGAGGGCGGATTGCTCGAGGTCAGGAGTTCAAAACCAGCCTGAGCAAGAGCGAGACCCGTCTCTATTATAAATAGAAAGAAATTAATTGGCCAACTAATATATATATATAGAAAAAAAGCTGGGCATGGTGGTGCATGCCTGTAGTCCCAGCTACTTGGGAGGCTGAGGCAGGAGGATTGCTTGACCCCAGGAGTTTGAGGTTGCTGTGAGCTAGGCTGATGCCACGGCACTCACTCTAGCCTGGGCAACAAAGTGAGACTCTGTCTCAAAAAAAAAAAAAAATAAGATGGATTTTAAAAATTAAAAAAAGAAAACACTATTATATAATAACTGCCTATAAATGATTAGATCATTTGGATCATGAAATTGAATTTTTATTTAAATGAATGTATAGTCTACAAAGGAAGATCAAATTGAATATGAAACTCTAGAGTCTTTTTTTTTTTTTACTTTCTAAACCACACAATCAGCTATCTGAAAATTATATAAAAGAACTACAATATATCAATGCTTTCAAGTAATTCTTTCAGGAAGCAACAAAGACATTTTAATGCTTTTAGAGGAAATACATCTAAGTGAATTATTCTAGTTAATTATTTCCTTACCTTCCTCCTGACATAATTTACAAGCAAGTCAGAATCTATTGCTTTTTTTAATGACCATTAACACGAGTGCTTAGTGGATTAGCATTTCTGTTCATTCACCATATGGGTCTGAATGCAAATTCTAATGGTGTTGGTGAAAATTGTGATGGGGAAAGCACACACCATACATACATATTTAAAGGTTTTTCAAATATTACTCTTTTCCTAAATCTGGCACTGTTAAACAAAGGGACAGATTTAAGCCACTTTAAATCAAATGGAAGGTACAGTCTCTCTTCTTCAGCACAAAATTGGAATCAAGCAAAGCAAGCAGCCTGTTACTATTTTCAAGACAGGCCTAAGACGAAATTGGTAAACATCAGTGCATGAGGTTGAAACTTTAGGAATAACTCCTTTCAAACCTAGGTTTTGGACTTCCATATAGCAAGTTTATGGTTCTGCAAAATAGAAGATAAGATTTTCAAACATGGAGACACCCACAACTTTAATGAATCCAGCTAACCCACCTGTATTTAAATACAACAATAAAAATAATAATAGCAAACATTTACATATCACTTATTATGGTCAGTTTAAGCTTCACACTTACCCAATCTAGGCACAATTATATTATTATCCCATTTTACAGATGAGGAAACAATGACACCGAGACATTAAGTAACCTGCCCAAGTTCTCAAAGCTAGTTAGTGATGGAACTGGTATTTAAACCAAATAGTCTGGCCCCAGTATTCATGTTCATAATAATAACATAATATTCCTCTCATTCTCTACTCTGTTCTTTCAAGTTTTGATGTCAATATAATATATAACATGAATTTTACACATACTGTCACCCATTGCTTAGTAATATGGAAACATGTTACTGAGATACGTCAGGTGATTTTGGCATTACACAAACATCATAGAGTGTACTTACACAAACCTAGATAGTATAGCTTACCACACACCTAGGATATATGGTATGGTCTATTCCTCCTAGGCTACACACCTGTAGAACATATTACTGTACTCATATTGGAGGCAATTGTAACACAATGATAAGTATTTGTGTATCTAGACATAGAAAAGATACAGTAAAGAACAAATATAAAAGACAAAAAAATGGAACACCTGTATAAAGTTAGGCAGGGATCAAATCTGCAGGTGGCAGATACAGGCCAGGAGGGTAGTTCCTAGGGGTGGAGAAGGTGGGGGACTAATCAGGGGAAGATATTGCAGGAAAACGTAGAACATCTGACAATCATGTATATCAATCATCTGGAAACATCCCACATCTCCTATAAGCCTTCCCACAAACCAGGCGAATAAAAGGAAACCACCTGGGAGTTCTTAACGTCTTTCTCCACTCGTGGAGACTGACATGTTCCTCTCTCTGGAATATATTTTCAGGTTGTACACCTTCCTTATTTCTTTTCCACAATTGTGTATCTTTCTTCTTTCTTCCTTCTTTTATACAATGAAAGCTGTTTGTCTGGAATTGCTTCCTGTCTGTATTCACTCTGTCGCATCAGCCCTGCTTGCGATCTTCCAAACAAGAAGCCAAAGAACCAGCGTATGTCTCTTTCAAAAACCAACCCTGACATACAAGGCATTTACCATGAATGGAGCTTGCAGGACTAGAATTTGCTCTGGATAAGTCAGTGAGTGGTGAGTGAATGTGAAGGTCTATGACATTACTGAGCACTACTGTATATGTTATAAATATTGAACTCTTAGATCACATTAAATTTATTTCTAAAACATAAACTAATTGCACTACCATATTGCAACAGCTACAATTTCACTAGGCAAAAGGAATTTTTCAGCTCCATTCAAATCTTATGGGACCACCATGATATGTGCAGTCCATTGTTGACTAACATGTCATTATGCAGCACATGACTGTAAGATAAATGTAATGAAATGAGCTGGTGCTTTCATCCCCCACAAAACTGTGTCTACATCTTTATCCTGAACCTGTGAATGTTCCTTCACTTAGAGAAACGATCTTTGCAAATATACTAAGTAAAGGATCTTGAGGTGAGGGGATTATCCTAGGTTATTTAGGTGGGCCCTAAATCCAATGGCAAGTGTCCTCGTAAGAGACAGACATGCAGAGGAGAAGACACATGCAGAGCAGAAGGCAATGTGAAGATGGGTGCAGAGATTAAAGTAATGTGGTCATGGCCAAGAAAGCCAAGGACTGCTTACTGCCACAAAAACATGGAAGAGGCAAGAAATGCATTCTCTCCTAGAGCCTCCAGAGGGAGCATGGCCCTGTCTATCCTGAATTTCTAGCCTTCAGACTGTTACACGTTGTGGGCTGGAGCTCAGAGCACTCAAGACAGGCTTGCAAATGTTGGTTTTTGAATATTCAAGAATTTTGCAAGCTGGTTGTTAAACTATTACTAGTCAGGGGTCCTTCCAACCTCCCCAAAATCACTTCACCATTTCACCACTACCTCTACTTTAAGAAGAATTGGATTGCTCATCTTTTCCCAGTTCTCACTCATTGAGGTAAATAAATAGCCTTCTGGACTCTGATAATAGGAAATGTTTTCCTTCCTTAGGAAAGGCATTCTGGGGTTTTTTGGCTAGTGTTTTTTTTTATTTGTTTTTTTGTTTGTTTGTTTTTCAGACAGAGTCTTGTTCTGTTGCCCCAGGTAGAGCGCAGTGGTGCCATCATAGCTCACTGCAACCTCAAACTTCTGTGCTCAAGTGATCCTCCTGCCTCAGCCTCCAGAGTAGTTGGGACTATAGGCATGCTCCATATTTGCTGAATTTTTCTATTTTTAGTAGAGATCAGGGTCTTGCTCTTGCTCAGGCTGATCTCCAACTCCTAAGCTCAAGTGATCCTCCTGCCTTGGCCTCCAAGAGTGCTAGGATTATAGGCATGAGCCCTGGCACCCAGCCCTTTGGTTAGTTTTAATTATTATTGATAGTGTATGTATAGGGATAGGAAGAAGTGTAGATAAAGGAAGACAGAATATAAATAGCTGCTAAGCATGAGGAAAGAGACTTTCATAACTGACCTATTAGAAATGCTAGTTAAGCATGGGCACATTCTAATCCCTCCTTCTCAACTCCTCTCTACCTATCTCATACATATACATACTTCTACTCTATTGAAGATTAATTTTATGGTTTTAAGGAATAATTCCAGAAATTGGAGATTCTCGATTCAAAAAACATTTATTTAAGTCAAATCCTAGGATATGGCAACTACATAAAATCTATAAAGATACCTCCACTAGATATCTTTGAATGTCTATTCGTCTAATGATTTGTTCTATATTTTGTCTTTTCAAATCAAAACTACCTAAGGCCCAGCTGTAGCAAACCTTCTGTTATCAATTGAATTGTGTTCCCCCAAATTCATGTGTTGAAGTGTTAACACCTAGTGTCTCAGACTGTGACTTCATTTGGAGAGAGGATCTTTATAGAGATAATCAAGTTAAAATAAAGTCATTAAGAGTGGGGCCTAATGCATTATAACTTGTGCCCTTATAAGAAGGGAAAATTTAGGGATAGACAAGTGAGAGCGAGGATGATGTCAAGGCACAGGGAGAAGCTGCTCATCTACAAGCCAAGGAGACAAAGCTGGAACAGTTCCTCCCCTCACAATCCACAAAAAACCAACCCTGCTGAGACCTCGATTTCAGACTTCTAACCTCCAGAACTACTCAGCAGTAAATTTTTGTTATTTAAGCCACCTAGTTTGTGTTGCTTTGTACAGCAGCCCTAGCAAAGTAATATGTCTTCCATAATCCTTTCAATCTCAGGTGATTATTCCTTTATCTCTTCCTTCAGGGTCCATGCTCTCTTCCTCTTCTCTGGCCTTTGTACATAAAGGATTTGTATTCATTCTTCACACTGGTGTAACCTGAATAGCAAAATTGGACAGGGAGAGAATCAATAAAAAGGAATCTAGACTCATCCCACTTATGAATACAGAAGTGTCAGAATATACTATAAATAAGAATCTTTTATTTGAGGAATACATGGATGGTTCAACATTACTTTTAATGGGTGGTTAGTTGCATGGCCCTAATCCAATGACCAGGAGTCTATACCATGATGCAACTCACTTCCAGTAAGCAAGGCCATTAAGGCTCAGTTTTCCTTCCTAAAAAGGAAGAATAAAAGAAGAAAGACTTAGGATTGGATCCCATGCGTTATGCACAGAGTTTTGTAAGGCCCAAATGAGCTGATGAGTGAAAAAAATAGTGAGTACTTAAAAGCTACAGAGCCCTAGTCTTCTAAGACATTTCTAGAGAGTATTTTAAACATCAGAGGGGAAAGTATAGATACCAGAAAGTATGAAAATTGTGCTCAAATTGGCTTGGCACAAAAGAAAAATTTCTTTGAAAGTTATGATTTTCAGTTGTGTATACATTTGCTAAAGGCTTCCAAGAGCACCAAGTTCTGAGCTCTAAGAAGATCATTTAAAAAAATTTTGCTTGCAGGAAAGAAAAAAAGAAAAAAATATTTTAAATTTCTAGAACAATTATTCTATGTATTTCTTGAGCTATATCAAAGTCAGAAGAATGTTTGAAATTGAGAAAACTCCTTCTAAGGAGGTATTGAGCACATATTTAGGAAGGTAGCTACATCTTCATGATTGATTCTAACAAAGGGTATATTCCAAGCATGCTCCCTCCTTCCTGGGATAGAATAGATATGACACCCTCCCTAACTCAGTAGTCTTCATAAGCTCATCCATTTTGGATCCTACTGGATCTTTCTCTCCTGCCATCCCAGAAGTTGCCCATTTGTATTTCTAGACCACCATTAGTGTGCTAGCCATGGCTAATGGTGCTCGTGCACATTGTATGACAGTTGGTTTAAAAGTTTTCACAGCTCTGATTCTAGCATCAAACTCACACATGTTCAGGGGAGTTCTTCATGCTCTGCTTTTCCCCAGATGCAGTCATTGACAACTCCCTCTGGTGTAAATTGGTTGAGCTCCCAAGAGGTCAGGAATAAGGCGGGAAAATGTCAGAAATTGGTGACTGCAAGTCTTTCACTCATGTGACTAGTGAAATTAGTAATTGTAAGTCTCTCAGCATATCACAAGGTCATCATCTCTAGTAGCTACGTAACCAAAGCTATTTCTCCAGGGCATTGGAATATTGTCTTCACACTCCACAGCAATTCTTAAAGTTTCCATCCTCACCTTGGATAAATTTGGTGAAGACTCTCTTCTTCCTGCCTCACTCCCCATTTCTCTCTCTCTTTGTGACTTTTCCTCATCTCTATGTCTCTCTCTTTCCTCCTCATCTTTCTTTCTCTCTTTTTTCACTTTTAATTTTTATTTTTTATGGTTTTCTGCTAGTTCCTCTTTTTGGACAATTCCTCTCTTTTTTAAAATCTCTGTATCTGCCTCCTTCTTGTTTTTCTTCAGTCAATCTTTTTTTCCCTCTTTCTTTCTATTATATTTGTTCTTTCTGTCTGTTTCTCCTTTATGTTTGGCTCACCCTCTTTTCCTCTATTTAATTCTTTTCTCTTCTCTTTCTTATGTGTTCAGATAGTCTCTTTTCTTCTCTCTCTCACACTTCCTTTATTTCCTAACATTCTCTTCTTTGAGTCTTTTGGTCTTTTCTTTTTAAATTTAATTTCTATCTCAACTTCACTATCTCTGTCTCTATTTAATCTGCCTTTACCTATGGACCTCAATTTGTCACTATCTACTATTTAAGTGTTTACAGGAAAGTAGATATTTATTTTTCTATTTTTTTCTCCAACCTCATCTCACCTTTTCATCAAATATCTTTCTGTATTCTTCTCTTCTTTTCTTTCCTCTCCTTCATTCTTTATTTTGTATCTTACCAAATCTTTCACTGAATCCATTTTCATATCTTTCTTTCTTGTATTTTCTTTTTTTATTACCTTTGTCTCTCCCCCTGGTTTTGTGCACACACACACACACACACACACACCTGTTCCTCCCTATCTTTTTGCTATCTCTAATTTTCACTCATTCTTTGGTTTATGTCTGTCTTTCTTCATGTATGTGTATGCACATGTATGTGTATTCGCACGCCCACTCACATGTGCACAGAAGATAGGAGGAGCAGGAAGGAAGGTACGTGAGGTTAGAGAAGTATCCACAGAGGCTGAATCTGTAGTTTGTAACTGTGGTTTCCCATGAGAATCTTCTGATTTAGTTGTCTGGAAAGGAGCCAATGAATTTAGTAAGAACCCCAGGTTGAGATTCACTGGTTTAATGATGAAACCTCTTGAAAGCCAGGGTTAATTATTTGTACTTCAAGTAATTTAAATTCTATTTCTCCTTCCCTAGAACCTCCTTCAAATGTTTATTTCTCTGTTGCAAACTTTACCAAACTCAGGCTCATATTTGAATAACTTGTCCGTGTGTCTGCTGTCCCCCAGACTATGTTGACAGACGTTTGCTCCATTGCTTTCCTAGGATAGTATCTAGCCCAGATTTCTGATTATATACATGTGCAGAGTCAAGTGTCAGCAATTTGCTCAATTCGATTAAATAATATCACACTTCAAAACTGTTAAGGTGATCATATTACCAACTGAGACTTAATGACACAGCCAGTTATATGTATAGCTGGAGACAGAATTAGTTCCGTTCAACACATTGTTAGATTTGTTGGAATTCTATATTCCAACAATATACCATTTACTAAGTGCTGGGATAATAGTTAAGACTATAAAAACTGTAAAGTTTCAAATTTGGGCATGGATTCTTGAGCCAGACATCCTGGCTTTGAATCCCAGCTTTGCAACTTGCTAGCTATATGTACAAGACAGGCTAAAACTGTGACTATTTTCCAGAACAGCCAGCTGTTAGTCCACTGGGGCTATTGTGTATAAGCTGAGTTGGCTCAGGAAGATACTCATCCTTGGAAGCTCCAGCCTCAGCCTTAGTGTTCAATCTGGTTTTATTTAAATTCAATTTTTTATATTTATTATTTGGAAACTCCAGATCATAATGCTAAATTCTTTGTATGTCAGTTAAATATTGGCCCACTCTCCTTTCTCTTCGAATTAACTTAAGGAAGAATCTGATGTACCAAGTTGTTTTCCCATTGGAAGATTGGGAATACTCCAGTTACAGAATGAGATTTCAGATTCTACAGTTTGAAACTTTAGCAGGAAAAATGATTAATCACTAGTCGATTGCAGATTTTATTGCACTGTTTTTGTCCCACCAAAGTAGGGTTATTTTGGGGAGGGCTTATTATAGGAAGTAGGTTAGCAGAAACGAGTTTGTAAACTCACTCGTTGCTATTCTTCTTATTTACAAAGTAAGCCAATTGCTACACCATGGCAGGTCCAAAGCAATGCATAGTGGGCTGTGCTTTGGGAAATGCCTCCAGCCTCATTGGTCTGCTACTTGTTCCAAACCTCCTCACATTCAGTTCCCCTCTTATTTCTGACCCTCTTAGCTTCACATCTTGGTTCAGTCCTTTCCCATCATCAATTTGACTTAGTAATCTGGCTTGGTACTGTTTATATTAATATGTACCAAAAACTTCATGGAGTGCTAGCCCAGGGGGTAACTGCCCCTCACCTTCACACTCTGCAAAAATTGACACAAGATAACCAGAAGCTGGGACTGGATTCCAGTACATTCTAGTACATTACTAGATAAACCCCTTAGCAATATCTCTTCCATAGAAGAAGATCCAATTTTCAAATATAAGTTTTCTGAATGCTCAAAGTTTGCTATAGCAAGAAACTCATGTATAAGATCGTCATCAAAACAATATTGTCTGGCCAGGTGCGGTGGCTCAAGCCTGTAATCCTAGCACTTTGGGAGGCCAAGGCAGGAGGATCATTTGAGCTCAAGAGTTTGAGACCAGCCTGAGCAAAAGTGAGACCCCTTCTTTAGTATAAATAGAAAAAAATTAGCCAAACAACTAAAAATAGAAAAAATATAGTCGGGCACGGTAGCACGTGCTTGTAGTCCCAGCTACTGAGGCAAAAGAATTGCTTGAGCCCAGGAGTTTGAGGTTGCCATGAGATAGATGATGCCATGGCACTCTAGCCCAGGCAACAGAGTGAGACTCTGTCTCAAAAAAAAAAAAAAAAAGGAAGAAAAGTAGAAATCTATATTTCTTGGCAAAGATCAAAATCAAAGATTATTAGCCACAGGTCTAGATGCTCTCCCTCTCTAGCCATATGTGAGTGCATCTCAAAGACAAATAAAATTTATAAATGAGTCTCTGGGGCCTCTATGAACATCACTGCATATAGGAAGGTTTTTGCTTCTGATGTGAAGTGTGGAAGTGACCCTTATAGCTGCACTTGTATGTTGGCATAATTAAATGAGAAGCAGGGAACTCTTCCCCAGAAGATATTCATTTTCCCCTCTCTTCTCTTTTTCTCCCCTTTATCATATTTTCTCTCAGCTTTTCTCCCTCCTTGCTTTTTTACACCAACATAATTATCAATAGTCATTGCTGATATTTATCACTGATAGTATATGGTGGGAATCGGGGAAAAAAAACTGCATCCAGTAAGATGATCTAGTACAATTTCTGGCATGTGTCAGACACTCAGTACATGTCATTTTTGCTTTTCTTCCCTTTCTGAACTCCAGTCACATCTCAACCTTAACTATTCATCAAGTGTTTGAGCTATATCTGTCTTTTAACTGAAGAACTACTGTGTATGCATGGAGAGTTAGAGGGATATCATATAATTTTATGTTGTGTTAAAAGAGTTGATAGAATAAAGATATTAATCATATACATTTCAAAATTATGTCAATTTATTATGTTTTATGTGATGTGAAATATCTACAGTAAAAGGAAGTTTATTTTCTAAAACTGTCAATGAAATATCTGATATACACCTGATGCGATAATAGATTCAAGAGTGACAAAACTGCCACTTGAAATGCATTGCAGTACCAGCAAGTGTGTGTCAATTTACCTCCTTACTTCTTTGATTACAAAAACACAATATTAACTGTATCTCTCTGTGGTTATCCTTTTGTTAAAATTTGTTGTAATTTTCATAGTTCCTTTGTTCTTCAACAATCAGGTTCTGGCAATTTACTTTGGTAATTAAAAGTTGGATTCAAGGAAAACTATGAAATTCCACATTTGTTCATTCTTGTTTCCATCACTAAATTCTGCCTTTTCTAACGCAGAACTTTTGTGACCCACAGAGCCAAAATTTAAGGAATATATCCATCTCAGATTTCTACACCTATTCCAACAAAATATAATGAATGTCTCCTCATGGAACCTAATTCCCAAGAAGCAAGATTATTCTCATGAAAATTTGTCCTACTTTTTTTCTAATTCAGTAAAGATACTGGTTCACACATGAAGCCAGGAAAGAAAAAGATAAAGCCAAAGCTGGTCCCCCTGAGGAATTGCTTTGGAATAGAGCTTTATGGCCCTCCATTCAATTCATATTTAGTAGGCCATCTCTTCTGCCTTCATTAGGGAAAAACAAAAACAAAACGCTGCCTATGATGGATAATATTTAATCACATGCATTTTTGTTTGGCTTTACTTCTTTGTCTTCTGAGAAGAATAGATATTTAAACACTAGTTCATGATGACAAAATTAAAATTTACTTTTACAAATAAAAATTGAAATGATTTCATTTCTAGCAAAAAAATTCAAATTTAAAATTTTTATGTGTTTCATTATTTAATTTCTAGACAGCAATAGGAGTAAAGATTTTTTTTAAGGTGATTTATATTACAACAGATTTTTTTTCTTGAAAAAGGACCTTTAAAAAAATTCCAGGAAGGTTAAAGTACCACAAAATAATTAAAGATTGTACATCATAGGCAAAACTCTTCAGCTGTTATTGAAACGTAAGTATAATTACACACAAGAAAAAAATATTATCAGCAGAGAAAAGATGCCTTAAGAATTCTTTGTGTCTTTCTGAACTGATGGACACGAGTGAGCTCTAATATCATTATGTTTAGAAATGGCTTCATCCAGATCCAACTGTACACCATTAATATTTGTTTCCATGCAGCCATTATAAAAGGCATTCACTGGTGTGGCATTGAATGGAACATCTGTAAAAACAGAATATTAGATTAATTAGTCCAAGAATTTTAGCATCCTATTTTTTTACAGTTCGAGAAACCATTCAGACTTTCCATTTCCAACTAAATTCTAATCCTAAAGGAAAAGTTAATAATGTAATTCTATTTGATAAATATACATTATTAAGTGACTCCTGTATTTAAGATATTGTGCTTAGTAATGAATTCAGTACATCATGAGTTCCTCTGATTTCATAAACACAGTTTCATCCATACTTAAGATAAATAAACACCTTTTAAGAAGCATAGAAATAAGCATACTTTTACTTGTAATATTCTAGTTCATTATACAAATTATACATTATTTTATCATTAAATTTGAGCAGCAGTTTAAGCATTGCTAAATCATTTTTTCAACTCTAAATTACAGATACCTGGAAATCTTTTCTAAATGCCATGACAAATGTATCTTTTTTTATTATTGCTGGAATAAAAGCAGATTTCTATATTTTCCTAAGAAATAGTTAGTTCCCTTTTGAGTATACAATAGGCAGGCCATGATAAAGGGTTCACTTTTATGAAATATTTGGTGTTCTAAAAATAATAATTTTAATAACTCCTCAGTGAATAATTTAGGATTATTTTAGGACCTTTGGGTCATTCTACACTTTCACACTCTTTATCTTTTTTTTTTTTTTTTTAGAGACAGAGTCTTGCTCTGTTACCCAGGCTGGAGTGCAGTGGTGGAATCAGAGCTCACTGCAGCCTTGAACTCCTGGGCTTATGCAATCCTCCTATCTCAGCCTCTAGAGTAGCTGGAACTACAGGTGTGCATCACCATGCACAGCTAATTTTTTTATATTTCATTGCCCATGCTGATCTCAAACTACTGGCCTCAAGTGATCCTCCTTCCTCAGCCTCGCAGAGTGCTGGGATTATGTGAGCCACCATGCTTGGCCTCTTTGTAAAGTTTAGTACCTAGTAATGCCTTTTGATTCATTTGAAAATTATCCAGCTCTCCACTTGCTTCCTCTTTTTTGGCATCTCCTCTCCATGAATTTTAATTCACAATGGATATTCTCTAGTTCTCACTCTTCTTCCTCAGCACCTTATGCCAAAAATAAAAACTTCAAAGTTTCCACTTCTAACTTGCCAATACAATGAATAACATTTGTTAAGAGTCCCTTTCAAGTCTAGCTGAACACATAGATTATGCCACTATTACAAAATTCCTCAGAATCATCGCTTTCCCCTGAGTTTTAATTTTGAACATGAAATTTAACATGCCTACTTTGTATACTATTAATAATTTACCCATCCCATAGTTTATACTCTTATCTCAATTTTCAGCATCTCTCAAATTTTATACACTCTTTCTTCTAACATATCTTGCCTGAAGTCAATATTCAGTGCTATTGCCAAATCCTGGAACCACCGACATTTTTATATTTTTCTTTTTTTAAATTCTTTCATTGTTTGATTTCTTAAAGTTGCATTTAACTAACTTGTGAATAAGGTAGTAGGTGGATTTCAATATAGAATTTATTGATTTGAACTGTAATTATACTCCCTAATAACTAATCACGCTATTTAACTGTGTGTATCTATCCATGTTTCTATGTATCTATCTGTCTATCTTTGGAGTCTATTTACTTCTATTCCCCGGAAGCCCAGATAAAATTTCCACATGTAGGAAACCAAGACCCTGAGCAGCTAAAGCAATACAATGAGGGTTGCTAGAAGTCCAGACATCAAATTTACAATTCTTCCTATGAAAATAACCTGCACATGGTACCTCAAAATGCTTCTAAAGAATTTCCTGCCTCATTTTTTTTTTTTGCCATTTAAAAGAAAATATTGGTGTGATTTCATATTTTCCAATATTAAGGTAAAGATGAACCTGCTTTTCCTCCAGCTTTCCCCATTTTGGTAAATGGAATCTCCATCCATGCAACTGCTCATGCTACAGACCTAAGAATCATCCTTATACTGGTCTCTTAATTGTTAAATCCTAATAATTTGGTTTCTCACATACTTCTCCAGTCTATTTGTTGCATACCATCTCCACTGCTGTTACCCTGATCCAGCAGCTTCCTCAGCTTTCTCATCTGTAAAATGGGGATACTGATAGTACCTATCTCACAGGAGTATTTTGAAAATTAAATGAATACATACATTTGAAGCACTCTGAGCACTACCAGACTGTTATGCAGCAGTTGACGGTACTGCAGTTATTGCGGCTATCACCGCTTCTTCATCTGGACTAATTCAATAGCGTCCCAACTCATCTCAGCTGCACCCCCTTTTGCCTCTCACCTATCCAGCTCCATCCGTCATCCAGAGTGAATTTTTTAAATTGTGATATTGATATGCCGCTCCCTTGTCTAAAACTTCTTAACGATTCTCGTGTGCCATAAAAGACTCAAGACCCTGAACCAGGTCTACAAACCCTTCCTCCACCCATCCAGTTCACAGCCCCATGCTGCACTCCTAGCTTCTTGCTTCACGTGCTTTCACCAGACTGATCTTCTAGAGAGTCCTCAAGTTTCTCATCCCCTTTTGTCCATTTTGCCCACATATGGACCATGTTACTTGCATATGAACTCCAATCCCCACTCCCACCATCTGCTTAAATTCATTTAATCCTTCAAATATCAGATTTACATTTTAGTCTCCTATTCAGGGAGGTTGTTCCTGGCCCCCACAATCGGGTCCCGTCGTCATTTTCTGACTCTAAAGCATCTCATACTTTTTCTTCATAGAAGTGATCACAATTTCAATTATTTTGATATTTTCCTTATTAGTTGTTTAATGTCTACCTCTGGCACTAGATTGTAAAAACCTTAACAGGAGGGACCATATCTGTTTATTACTGTGTCCCTAGTACCTGGGACATAAGTACTTAATAAAAATTGGATAAATGATAGATGAACTGAATAATGGATGAATAAATACTGGATAAATTATGGATGAATTGAAGAATAAATATTGAACTTACAAGACTATTGTGAGGGCGAAATGAAATAATATATCCTTTCTGGCTAGGATACCCAAATGTACCAAAACTTGGTTAGTTTCAGTTTACTGTTTAAAGAAAACAAAAACCAAAAACGTACCAATAAAATGTCAGTACCCTCTCCCAGAAAAAGAACAATGGGTACAAAAATTTTGTCTCTGCTCTGATGCCTTTTTGCTAAAATTATATATTTAAAATATTATCAGTTTGATTAAAAATCTACTTTTAAAAACTGAAGTTAGTAAGCATATACCTGGAATGCCACCCAGGTAAGTGGCCACTGTTCCTTTCATTGCTTTATCCAAGATGGCAAATTGTCTTTCAAAGTGTGCAGAGGAGATGGTATATTCTTGAAGTGGAGTCCACACCTTCAGATTGTTTCTGTTGACTCTGAATTCCAGAAACGATTGTTGACCAGAACATAGACTCATGGCCTCTATCTGAAGTATCACTGTATTTTCAACAGATACCAGAATATCCTGAAGAGCAAAGAGAAGACCTGACGTAAGCAAGTACTAACAGTAATGTCACTGAAGAGTGACTGTTGAGTTTCTGAAATTCAAAAAATCTGAATTTCGATAAAAAAAAATGATAGAGCCTCTAGGTTTAATTGAAAAATTGCTAATTATAATAATCATAATTTTAAAATATACATTAGATTTACAAACTCTAAGTTTAGCTAAGACATAAATGGATACTGACTTCTGAAAATTCAGGAAACTAACAGAGTCGTTTTACCAACAACACGGATCTAAAGCGTGTCTTAAGCAGTATCTTTCTGTTTATGAGCCTTCCTAAACTCCAAAGCTTACATGTTAAAAAAAAGAGTTGAATCACTCTTTTTTAGGGAAAAGACAGGGAAAATTAAAGTGCTTCAGTAAGCACATGCTAGCAGGACTGAAAGGTTTATTTGTGCCATACAAGCCATCATATAGACTTGGAACAAAATGAGGGAGGAGGCACTGAGAAAGAAAAACCTGGGGTTGCCAGCAGTCAGTTACAGAGTATTTTCTGGAAGATTCTAAAAAAGAAACTGTATGCATTTTGCCGAACTTTTCAAACTGCTGATATACTTAAATTACTCAACTTGTTGAGAGTGATCTGTGTATATAACTTATATAGTGTAGAGGAAATGTAAAAAAAAGAGAAAGAAAATAATATAAAAAATGGGAGACGAGTATTGTGATGCTTCCCAGGTGGTAGAAAGATAGTCTGAAATGTTTACTTAGAAATTCACAATACCTATTAAGTGAAAAGTCTCTATGTCAGAATAAATATAGGTTATTTGAGGATATCTGTTATTATACTATACATGTCTGTATCCTTAAACTCATTTAAAGAGATGGCCATTGAGAATATGCTCCAGAATGATTAACGGTACGTGGAATAATGTTATGAAATATTGTACATAGATCTTGAGAAGGGAATCTGACATGTGAAATAAGAGCCATACAAATAAACACAGAACGAATTCAATACCAAAGACATGAAATGCATTGACTTCCTCCACTGCATAAATATAGTGAAGATAGGAATTCCATTTTGTTTAAAAAACAAACAAACATGCAAACAAAAAAACTGAAATCCAAATGTAGAAAGCCCCTTGTAGTTGAAGATTAAAAAAAAAAAAAAAAAACTCAACAGGACCTTTTTAGGTTATATATGGTTAACCACTAGAAACTGCCCCTACCCCACCTCCCACCCCAATCATCTTTTAAGTTACAAACACCATCCTTTTTTATTACTATAGGCATTATTCAAATATATGTCTTTTTCTAAAAGCTAATGAAAGCATCCAAGCCAACCCTGGCATCAACATCAGCTGCTTCCTGTAACTTGGAATCCACTGTTTTGATGACACCTGGACAGAACTATTAACCTCTAATATAAGTCTGAATAATTCACATGTTCTAATAACTCTCATGTATGCTTTTATCTAAGACTTTTTTCCTGTTCTTCCTCCTAATTTCAAATATGAATTGCCAATAAGCCAAGTGGACTGGTTTAATTTTCTCTCTTCTTTCCTAATTTACTCATGGGAGAAAAGATTTAAGAGTGCAAGAAAGCACGAAGCATTATAATTAAGCACTGAATATCTGCCAATAGATTGTAATCAGACTCCCTTCTATTTTGTTAGTACAGACTGATTCCTATGATGCTCCAAAGGTTCTGAATAAGGGTGTGTCTCTATATACTACTCTGTGATGGCTCCAGGCTGCCTATGTGAGTCTGTCTAATCTTAGCTAAACACGCAGGTTTCTTAATCCCCCTTTCCTCACTTCTTGGTTCAGACCTTGGAAATAAGCCAGCAAAAAAGTAACAACAACGAACATTTTATGAGTTCTTAATTATGTGCTGGAGATTGTGCCAAGTACTTTACATAAGTTTCATCATTTAATATTCAAAATAGCCCTTTGAGGTAAATACTGCTATAATATCCATTTTAAAAATGAAAAGAAAAACAAGGCTTACACAGGTTTAAAGTAAAGTTACCTGAAATTTTTCAGAGGTGGAGTCCACCAAGGACAAGGCAAAAGGCACCGTGTTACCAGAAACCAAGGCAAGCATAATACCAGTGCCTGCGGATGGGCGAATATTCAAGGTCACATTTACTTGCCAACCCTCAGCACTGGATATGTTATCTGTTTAAAACAAGGAAACAAAAACAGGATCAATGTAATCCTTTTTAAAAATTCTTTTGTTTAATTTTATTATATTTTTTGAGATGGGGTCTCTCTCTTGCTCAGGTTGGTTTTGAACTCCTGAGCTCAAGCAATCTGCCCACCTCCTTCTCCCAGAGTGCTAGGACTGCAGGCCTGAGCCATTGCGCCCTGGCCAGGGTGGATGTACTCTTAAAGCCTGCCAAAAGGAATTATTACAATCTGATTAATATTCAAAGCCATCTTTGCATAATACTAAAGATTTTAGTTCCCTTTCTCAAAGATCTATATAACCTAGGGAAAACAAACAAACAAAATTTTTGTTTTTAAATGCAGGCAAATGGCGCCCCTTCTTTCTGTTGATTTTAGACGAGAAGTCTGGATTGTGGTATTAAGGATTATTATGAACTTTCCTTGTTTGCTCTTTAACAGCTCTTCCTTCTCCCTTGCACATTGACCAATGCTCAAATCTCAGAGTGGTCATATTTTAAAATGCACATTTAGAAGGAAATTCAACAAATTTATTGTAATTTCTAAGGGGAAATGTGGGTATAGCTGCCATCAGCATCCCAATACTTTTCATCTTAAGAGCAGTGGGAAGGACAAATATGATCTATATACATGGGGGAGGGGGGTTGGATAGTTTGATAGTAGAGAAATATTGTGACATCAACAGTTATTAGTAGTTTTAAAATTAGAATAGGAACTCTTGTTCTGCTATTCTCTTTCCTTTATATTTAACATTCTCTTTTTTAATTACTATGTTAATGGTTTATCCCACTGAAGTGCAAGCTCTAAGTGGTACATGTCTCTATCATCACTTTATTTTCCACAACAGTCATTCAATAAATATTTGTTGAATTAATTATGTTTCCAAAGTAATTAGATTCCGGAAAACATTAGTTCACAATCTGATGAAGTCTCCCTCATTTAATATGAGGTAACATATAACAAAGCCCAAATGCTACTTGGAGCATTTGAAAGGCTGAATGTGAGTGGAGAAAATAATTTTCCTTTGATGAAATGCTCTTCCATGTACTCACATATAAGGCTACTACATTTTCATTATAATCCTATAATTCCCATGCAGAAGTAAATATATGTAATCATTGTGAAATAAGCAAATTTAACATAGGATATTAACAAATTCAAACTCAAGGGAACATGCAAATGTATAGAAGTTATAAAGTAATGTTAACTATTTCAAGTTATCCATGAAATAATTACTTATGAGAGTAATTATTTTAGGTACAATATAACTTTTATTTTCATCATTGTGAGCTTAGATTTTTTCCTATGGTCAATTGTCCCCCATTTATAACATTTTTAAAAAAATCCTTCATATGTAATACAGAGCTAAAGTTAAAGGCATTGTATTAATTTATGTTAGGAAAACAGAAATCACTGGTATAAAATTCTTCCTTAAAACTGTAGTTAATATTTTAAGGCTATGAATAAACACATTTAAAATATAACTTTTTCTTAAAGCAGAGATATCAGATTAACACTAACTTAATTTATTATGCAAAGTGTTAGTAGCTCAAATAATGAACTCCTAACAACAAAAAAAGACAAAGAACTCAACAACATAATTAAAATGTACAAATAGCTAATAAACATATGAAGAGATATTGAAGTCCAGTAGAAAATAGAAAAAAATACTTTATAAAATTTAATTTTTGAACTATTAGAGTAGAACACATCTCAAACAAACTTTCTCATTCTGTGGGGTAGAAGTATTAACTGAAAAGATCTTTGAAAGAGAATGTAATAAAATCTGTAATAATTATATACTTATATAACCTTTCCCGGAGATAATCTAGTTCTCAGATTTTTTTCCTGTAGAATGAATCACATAAGAGCACAGGATGTATGTTCAAGAATGTTCACAGAAGTGTTATTCATAAAGGTGAAAACCTGGGGGCAGCCTGGCAAGACTTCCTGCTCTACTTAAGCTGTAGGAAACTGGAAAGAGCACTACTCCCACTCTTATAACAACAACGGAAGCCAAATTATCTGCACAATCACAACTTCTCTTGAACTATCAAAGAGCTGAGGCTGCAGAGCTGCCAACTAACCAGAAACCTAAAGAAAGATAGGTGTTTCCAAGGAGAGCCAGGATAAGAACACTTTCCTACCCAGAGCAGACACCACGTGCCCCAAAATTGGTAAAAATAATTTAGGTAAGGCTTGTAACAAATTGCTAAAGTCCATATGGGGGGTGGTGTGTGAGTTTAGAAACCCTAGAAATTGGAGACCCAGGGGAAATTCATACTCATTCACAGGCTCTTCTCCACAGACCTTATTGGGCGCTCAAGAGAAATACTGGGGGTAGGGAAGGAGACCAGACAGAGAGAAAGCCTCCTTCCTAGTGCAGTCCTGGGAGTAACACCAGCTGCAGGAAAAGCAAAAAATCCCACTTAGATCCTTCTCTGTCTCCTCTACATAACAAAAGCCTTAAAGCATTGGGGAAAAGGCAGTAAACCTAGTCATTAGGACAGACATGAAGACCCACTGCACCTACAGACTAAGGAAAGGGAAACAGGAAAATCAAACAAAAATAAATTATTTACCACGGAGGAGGAGCAGGAAACCGTCTTGATCCCTGATCATTAGAGATGTCCTCTACTGGTAAGGGTGGGAGAGGAGGAACAGTGAAAGTCCACACCCATGAGACCCAGGAATATAACACCCGCCTGAGACTGAGTCTGTGCCAGAACAATAGAGAATGCTCCCCTGACCTCCAGGCACTCTCTACCAAGTTAGCAAATGTCAAGTAACAAGCAAGAGTGCTCTCCTGGGGGTGGGCAAGGCCATGGAGGGACACTTTCTTGAGTCATATCATAAAGGAAATATCTAAAACTGAATTGTTATGTAAACAAAAACTGAATAGCTGAATAGATATTAAGAACAATTCTCTTAACAAACCAGCTCCTACTCTAAGCAGAAGGTAATATTGGAGGAATTTGAAGCCTGGGGTACACTAAGGATAATCCTGGCAACCACAAAACTCAAGTACTTTGACTCCTCATCAGCAAAAGAAGAGGTGTGCTCGGTTCCAGACATAAATATTATTTATCTCAGTCTGTAGTGTTCTATATAAGATGCCTACCTCTGAACCTAAAATTATACAATACACATAGAAGCAAGGAAAAACAACACTGAGTCAAGAGACCACACAATCGCCATGACCAGACCCAGATATAACACAAATGAAACTATTAGACCGGGAATTTAAAATAATTATAGTAAATATGTCAAAGGTTCTGGTGTACAAGCTAGACCACATGTATAAACAGATGGGGAATTTCAGCAAAGAGGTGGAAATTTTAAGAAAAGATCAAATGGAAATGCTAGAAATGAAGATGAATCTCTTTAATGCATCAATTGGTAGACCCCAAACAACTGAGAAATCCATGAACTTTAAAACAGGTCAGTTGAATTTACCCAAAATGAATCAGGCTATGTGCCAAGAAACTTTAAATAATAACATAGCCATATTCAACTGTGTTTATATTTTTCCAATATGCTGAAAAAAATTTATAAGAAATGTATAACAGTATGAATAAGCCTAAGACTACATAGTAGATACTCAATAATGTTTACTGAAGAAACCATTGCTGTTTGTCAATGAATAAATTTAGTCATTAATGAGAAAAGAAAGATAAAATGGGAAATCACTTACTATAATCTATGCTAAATTGAGCAACTCCAGAACCAGGATAGTAGGAGCCCTTCTCCACAGCAACAAGGCAATGCTTATTTTGTTTTTCTTGAATAATTTCCTTTACTCCTGAAGCTCCTTGATTCATCAGATTCCAGCCTCGTATACATCCATCTAGACGAGGGTTAATCTAACAAATTAAAATGTAGGTCAAAGAGTGTATTTTAAACTTCAGACAGACTGAAAAGTCACTTAATTGATTATAGGTATAGGCTTTCATTTAGAGGGAAAAAATCCTGTCTTTGATGACATTTTAAAATAATTTAAATATTTTTAATTTTATCTAAATTATTTTTTCAAGGTGTCCTTCAGATGGACAGTCTTTTAGTAAAAGCGAGTTTCTGCCATCACAGGTCCTCAATGAAATCTTAATAATTTGTAACACCTCAAGCCTCTCCTGCCTCTCCTAAGTCAACCTTTCTGCTCTCAAGTTCTATTTTTGCTTCTAGTTGTGGCCCTGGCCTCTAAGTTGCTTTCTGTTTTTCTTTAGTTGCATTTACAATATAGATTAGTCTTGCCAATCAGACTCTAAGCCTCTTCAGGCACAAGTGTTTGCATTCTTTAGCATCACCAAAGCATCTAGCCAGGCTCAAAACATGTGTAGTAGCAGCTGGGCATGGTGGCTCACGCCTGTAATCCTAGCACTCTGGGAGGCCGAGGCGAGTGGATTGCTCAAGGTCAGGAGGTCGAAACCAGCCTGAGCAAGAGCAAGATCCTGTCTCTACTATAAATAGAAAGAAATTAATTAGCCAACTAATATATATATATATATAGAAAAAATTAGCCAGGCATGGTGGTGCATGCCTGTAGTCCCAGCTACTCAGGAGCCTGAGGCAGTAGGATTGCTTGAGCCCAGGAGTTTGAGGTTGCTTGTGAGCTAGGCTGACAACAGGTTACTCACTCTAGCCTGGGCAACAAAGTGAGACTCTGTCTCAAAAAAAAAAAAAACAAACAAAAAAATGACATGTAGTAGCATATTTCATAAATGGTTGATTCTTTTTGAATAATTCATTTTACTTAAAAAGTCTCTAGATTTATCAGTTTCAAACAATAGGTATATTCATTTTGACATAGGTTAACTAATTTGAGTTTAATATCATACCATAGAAATCTTTTAAAAGTTAAAGTACTATGAATTGTCAGGATATAAAACAGTAAATACTTACATTAAATCAGCAAGTGTATCTAGTGGGACCATGATTTCAAATAAAATTTTTAAATCTCTTCAAGGACAGTGATAAGTCTCCTTCACAAAACTTAGTCCACAGTTATTAAATAAACATAACATCCAGAAAATCATTTATTATATCTAATTTCAATTTATGGGACTACTGTCATACCCTCAGTAAACATTTTTAATAATTTCTACTTTCTGTGCTATCCTTGAGCTCTCACATTTAAGTCCTAAAAATACATTTGAGAAAGTCCTTTGACTGACTTCTACAAAATAATGTAATATTGTACTCAACCATATGTATTTATATGTTTAATGGCTGACTATAGTCTATTATGATATTAATACTGGCTTGACACTTGGGAATTTTAAAAATCCATTTCTCCATGAGTAATGTTGGGGACTTAAATGGGCACAAAACTACCACATTCATTTTCTTATTTCTTTAATATAATTTCAAGGGTCACTAATGTTATTTTTCCATGATCAATTCAAGTTGCCATACTTGGCATGTTTAACAAAATAACTTCTATTGCTTCTCAGCAAAACACATCTTCAAACCTATTACAGACAAAAGGAATTCATCCATGATGAATGATATAAGCTTGGATCATTACCTGTTTAATGAGTGCATTTTCCACTTTCCGAGGGAATCCTGCAAAGTATACTTTGGTTTCCAAAAATCCATTTGTAGGATTAAAAAGGCTTCCAGGTTTATTTATATTCATCACAGCTTCTTTAGCTATTTTAACACTAACACTATGTTCTAATTCTTCTACAGACACCTACAATTAAAAAGACAAAAAATACCAAACAACCAATCATTATTACATGTCATTTGAAACACTGGGATTGAAAAATTCTGTTATTATTCCAAAAAATAATTTCCCAAAGTAATCATTTTAATGTAAGTATTACTTTGTTCCAACACATTTGGAATGTCAAATTATGATTAATGTGATAAAAAATGTGTTTTAAGTTGATAGTACTTGATCAAAAATTAAAACATACCATATTTTAACATTAAAAAAACAATACCATTCTATTAAGTTTAAATATTCAATTACATATTTTTCAATTCCAGTATGCTACGAAATTAACAGTTTTTAAAGAAGTGAGCCACTCTATTTTAGAAAAATGTTAAGTGCTCTTATTTTGCAATTGCTTGATACTACACATATGGAATCAACTATGTAAGTTAAGTTCTTAATAACTAAGAGAAATCAGTATGTCCAGTATTCTGTTCATTGAACACAAATTATCTTTCTTTCAAAATTCAAAAGTGATAGAGGTCATAGGAAGGACATATATAAAATTAAACTGGAGTTTTCCAATTCTGAAAATAGTTTGGGTTTCAATAAAAAATAAGGTTGGAAGTGAGGGTAAACAACAATAAAAAATCCTCCCTTAAAGGCAATTTGAAGAACTATTGCTGCAATCGATTCATGTAAAACTACAGCACTCAAAATCCAAACTCTTTACTTAGTAATCCATAATAGAAGCCAAACAATAGGTATATGAAAACACCATTACACTAAGGGAAAAACTATCCTCTAAAGTAAAATTTAGTAACATTTACAGATTTAAAGTTGGTCAACACTCCATCCTTAATGTAGCAATGAGTAGCATTTTACTCTAATGACTAGTTTCTCCCATACAGCTGTTCTTAACTTTGCCTCCAGGACCTGACTCTGGCTTGCTTCTCCTTCTACACTCCAAGCACTCCTTCTCAGTCTCCTTTGCTGAATGTTCCTCTTCTTCTCAACGTCTAGTAAAACATCCAGGGCTCGGGCCCCATGCCTTTCCCTTCTAGCTAGCCATGCAAAGTATTTCCATGACTTCACTCTGGAGCATTTGGAAAATTTGAGGCTAGGGTGCACTTTTATTTGTCACAATGAGTAGGAGCTATGCTGTCATTGCAAGATGCTATCCATTCTGCAATATACAGGCTAGTCCTATAATGAATTAGTAATAATTTAATAATAATTAGTAATAAAATATCCAGTATCCTAAAAAACCTTTGGAACATCCCTATTACATATTCATGTAGAGGATACTCATAATTATCTGTTTGTGTATATATTAATATAAACAAAATATTTGTTGGACCATTTTAGCATTCATTACATTTTTCAAGAATGCAGTAATCTCATCATCCAAGGATGTATTGATGTTTGTTTTGCTTGGATCTCTATCAAGAGTTTCTCACCACTTTGAAAAATTAGTATTACTGATGGCAACACCATTTATGTACTTATGGTATTTGAGTTGCTAATGCAACACTGCAACATGTTTTCATTTATAGCTTTCGCTTTATTCTAAGTATAGAAGAAAGCTATGACAAGTACTATAGTTGTACTTGAGTATTTATATATTGAATACATATTTTTATATAAATTACTTTCCTTTTATTTATATAATAGTGAGAACACAATATTAGATTCTATTAGGGAGCTTACATTACTGATGCATTTCATTATATGATAGTAAAGGAGCACTGTACATACTCAGACATTGGACGAGATAGAGTTTAGAACCACTGATCAACACAGCCAATTTTATAGCCTTAAAACCCTTCTTTATGCTGAATATTTGAAAATCTAAATTGAAGACATAACTTAAAAAATATACTCAGAATCTGATAACTTCACATCCCCCCACCATAAGCTATCTGGCCAAAGCTGTCATCCTCTCTCCACTGGGTTATTGCAATGGTCTTCTAACTTCATATCCTGTTCTACTCTCACTCTCCAATATCTAGTTTCCAAAAAGCCACCAGGTTCTGTTCAGGATTATCTTTTAAAATGCAAGTTAGATCACATCACTTCTCAAAACCATCCAAAGCCTTTCACTTAGCACAAAATCCAAAGTCCTCATCATGGTCCCCAAGGCCCTAGATGATCTTATTCTGGACCATATTTCTGATCTCATTTTCTAACTACTCTCCCCCTCTCTCACTCTACTGCATCTATCTATGCTAATCTTTGTGGTGGTGTTTCTCAAACGCCAAACATATCTTCTCCCATGAGACTGTGTACTTGCTGTTCACAACATGGAGAATTATTTTACATACCCCCATATATTTCTCATGATGTGTGCCTCAAGTCTCAGTTTAGATCTAATTTCATCAGACATGCCTTTCCTAATTATGTATGCACACTATTACCCTTCTCTATTCAAGTCTTGCTTTGCTCTTCTTTTTCCTCATAGCATTAATAACTATCTTATGTATTTATTTGTTCATGCATTTACTGTTTGCATCTCACCACTGGAATGTAAGCTCCATAAGGGCAATGACTTCACTTTTTCATTGTTCAATCTTTACTTTCTACAATAAGGATCAGTACACAAAGTGCTCAATGAATAAATTATGATACAATTACAGATTTCCCATAGATATTAGGATCCCATTACATTATATTAGTTCATAAAGCAGTATTAGCTACTTATCTGTGAGAAAATCTCAAGAGCAAGGAAAATCTCTTGCTATAATTCTAGCACCTTGAAATCAGGAACCTAGTACTTTAAAAGTGCTCACTAAAAGCAGATTGAATAAATGAGTTTATGAGTGCATAAGTGAAGGAATGAAAGCATTTAGTGATGACCTGACATGGCTTCTCAACATAGACCTCTTGCCAGCTCCCATAGGCATGGAAGGTGTGTCTTTTTAGAGCATTACATTCTAATGTGATGCTGATCTTCTCTCAGCTATCTTCTGCTGACAGTAGTAATGATTTCACTGCAGAAAAGACTACTCCCCACTATCAACTAGCAGTAATCTTTTCTCCAAGAAAAGTCCCATTTAATCCAGTTGATTAAAGTGTTTCTTTTTTTTTTTTTTTTTTTTTTTGAGACAGAGTCTCGCTTTCTCCTAGGCTAGAGTGAGTGCCGTGGCATCAGCCTAGCTCACAGCAACCTCAAACTCCTGGGCTCAAGCGATCCTCCTGCCTCAGCCTCCCGAGTAGCTGGGACTACAGGCACGAGCCACCATGCCCGGCTGATTTTTATATTATATATATTAGTTGGCCAATTAATTTCTTTCTATTTTTATGGTAGAGACGGTTCGCTCAGGCTGGTTTTGAACTCCTGACCTTGAGCAATCCGCCCGCCTCGGCCTCCCAGAGTGCTAGGATTACAGGCGTGAGCCACCGCGCCCAGCCTAAAGTGTTATTCTTGATTATTAAAATAAAGGCCATTTGTAGGACTATATAAAAATGATAGTTTCTAAGCATGCTGACTGGTATCCACTAGGTATACTGTTTGTACAAAATTGATTACTTATCAATATGCTCATATTTAAAACTGAGTTAACTTTTTGATTTTTTTACTTTGTGCATTTCTCTTTCATTTAAAAAATACTGGTGGCATTTGAGGGTAGTTATCCTTGATCAGTGGTGGCTTTGCATAAATTGTTATGCCTGCTAATAATCCCTGACCTATAAGAGAGACACCACTGTTCACCAAATGACAGCCACTAAAAAAGGCAAAAAGTTAAAGACAGAGTAATTCAAGCAAATAACTAACAACAATTATAATTACAAGAACTCCTTAATACATTAAATGAGGGTATCATGTTTCAGGAATGTACAGTGTTTAGAATACACTTCATATAACATCAGATAAATTGGAACCCATTTTGGTTTATTATCACTATAAAAAGAAATTGTGTTTAAAACAAATTATATCCAACTGAAAAGATATTCATAAAATCTGTAAAATGTACCATATTCCATAGACCATTATTAATAACTTTGCCTCCAATTGTGATTTTGGTTGTATACTCATTCTTAAACTGAATTTCAATCTTTCCATCACGAAGTGCAATCAGGAACCAAGCTGAATGATCGAGAGATTCTGCATACAGTATAACACCCTCTGAGTCATATGTCCGGAAATCAAATTCAGCTGAAAATCTAAACAATGGACAAAGAGAGATTCATAATAGTGAGAAATATGGAAAGCTCAACGTACTACTCTTTTTTCTTGTATTAGAAAACACTAATATGTTGAAAGAGTCAACTAGTTATTTTGTTTCCTGGAATTAACATAAGGACAGAATTAGACTGTTCATGTATTATCTCTGGTTCCATGTGTGTTTAAAATCAAGATATTATATTTTCGTGCTTAATCTTGGATTCTTTTTCCCAGGGAACAGATGCTTTGGTAATTTTTCATCTTTTTTGGCATATGTTTTGAAGATACCTTTCAAATGCTGGAATTAGTACACATCTACAAATATTAGGCATACTGCATCTCTCCTGGAGCCTTTTATATACTATACAACCTAACATTAAGATGTGAGGTCTTTTTTGTTGTTGTATGCATAAGTTATTAATAAAAGATGTTACAATTTCACGATTGGTTTCTCCATCAAAAGGCATATTTTCCTTATGAAAATTTCCTTTCCATATGTCAGGAAAGAATCACTCACAGAGATCTGTAAGATAGCATCTGGACAATTGCAGACATAATTAAGCCTTCATGTGTGGTAAGGAAGGTAAAATCAGAAACTTTAAAATGTATCTATTAGCTTGATTTCAAAAGCTCTCTAAAAATTCTAATTGCATAAACTGCTGCAGTAGAATACACAGAAGAAAAGCTTAAAAGATACAGTCTAGCCCTGTGTTTAGGAGTATCTGATGACTGTTGCTCTTAAGACTCTAGACATATATGTAGTTATTACAGGGGAGGAAAATCTTAGGGAGGTTGGATTTAAAATAACATGTGTTGATTCAGTGTTCTTAGAATACTTTAATGAGAATTAACATTAAAGTTTCCAAAGGACTAGCAAATCAAAATGATTAAAAAAATACAAACAGGGAAAAGGAAAAATATTTGTTTAACTATTAGTAACCTGAGTTAAGTTTACAAAAAGGTAATTTAAGTTAAAGAATCAGGACTTTAGATAATTGTTAAATAAGGCAAAAAGGAATCGCACACTCTCATCCCAACATACAATAGTAATAGAGGCACCATTTGCGATGGGACACAGCTCTCTCTCAAATGGAACAAAGAAAAGGTGATAGAATAAACATTTTTCATCTTTAGAATTCCAAGGAAATATTCTAAAAAGGTAAAATGTGGAGTAAAGTATGTTGGATGAATAACAATGTGGTAGGAACTTACTGAACTCAGATTATATAAAAAAAGAACCATTTTGCTTGTAATAAGGACATCTATCCTCTTTCATAATTATCTGAGGATTTTGCTGATGTGAAGCATGTATTATCTTGCCAAAATCCAAATCTGTGTGTGCTCAAGATCTTCCAGAAGTTGATCCCATTATGAAGATAATTTCCTTTTCTTTGTAAAATCATGCTAAAATGGTATTTCAGAGTCATGTTTCTGGAATATATCAACAGCATACTGATTCATTACACTGGGGAACAATTCATTCTTTTGTAGAAGTATCGTAGAGAGGAAAAAAGAGTGAATTTGTTAACATTTGGGTAGGGGAAGTATTTGATCATGAGAAACAGAGATGAAGGGGAAAAAATCACTTGCTGTTTTTTGTGTTAGTGACAGGCGGCAGTTTATAAAAATTCATCTAGCTTTATACTTAAATTATATTTAATATGTGTGCACATTTCTGTATGTATATTATACATCAATAAAAAGTTTAAACTAAATAAATAAAAAATAAGCAAATTCTGTAAAAAATAATTATTTGGCCAATTCTGATACAGTGTTAGGGGTCAAACTAATGTCAGTGAGAAATAAATACATTCATCCCTAGGTATCCACGGGGGATTGGTTCCAGGACCCTCATGGACACAAAAATCCACAGATGCTCAAGTCCCTTATATAAAATGACATAGTAAAGTATTTGCATATAACCTACTAGCATTTTCCCATATACTTTAAGTCATCTCTAGATTACTTATAATACCTAATACAATGTAAATACTACACAAATAGTTGTTATACTGTATTTTAAAATTTGTATTATTTTGTATTGTTATATTGTTTTGTTATTTTTTTTAATACTGTCAATCAAGGTTGGTTGAATTCACAGATGAGGAACCTGTGGATGTGGAGGGCTGACTGTACTCCTAAAAGTATCTGAAGGTAAACCACAATTAGCTAATGTTTCTTAATAATAAGACTTCTATGAATTTAGTTGAATTATTTAATGAATAATCATTCATATCTAACATTAAATTCTAAACATACATGCTTATTTAATTAAAATATTTTAAAATTTGGACTGTATAACCAGTCTGAAATATGTTTCCTTTCCATTATTCCAACAAAATTCCAATTTCTTTCTTCTATTTCCAACAATGTATGGCTCTGAAAAAATTTAATAATTAAAGTAGAATCATGACTCAAAAACATAAGCAACTATTCCCTCCCTGAAGCCAATCTAACTACAAGAATAACAAAGTATTCAGATAGTCAACTAAAATTATGTAATATATGTCTTATTTAAACAATCACTTTAACCACTTAAGCAATCTTGTAAGTTTTCCTTAATAATTTTGAATATGATATTCTAAAAGCAATACTATGAATATTTTCTCATTAGTTTTCATTATATATAAAGAACAATGAAAATTTCACAAGTATACTGAATCTACTTTCCCAGATTCTTAGTAAATATGTATTTGCTAGAAAACAAAAAATGATGGAATAAGGTAAAATGATCATGGGGAAAGGTCAGCCTAGAATGACTCGAATAGGGTCTAGCATGGAAATGACATTTGTGAAGGAACAAATTAAATTTAGGGTTTTCCAAATCATGTGACTGATCATATACCTAAATTATCTGATTGACAATACAATTTCATACATTTCAAACCTTTTTAGTTACTATTTTGCTATCTCTATCTATTTAACTTCTAGAAATTATCATTGGTATTAGTTCCTCACCTGGTGACTTCTGGAAGATGAAATTTTAAATATAAAACAACCCCTACAAACTGCTCTGCCAAGTAAAGTAATTCATAATTCTTGTTAAGGTTCAAGGGAAGGCACACTGGAACAGCCTGGAGAAAAAGAAACAAAACGAACAAACAAACTGCATAGGTTATTGCTTGGTGTTTGTGTCAAATTGTGTATTCATTCTCTGGTTCCTAATGTACCCTCTGTACACTAAAATAAGTTAAGAATATTTGGTAATAATAAAGCAATATCTTCTTTATTATATCTTCAATTCCTTCTATAATCCATCAGTATAACCTCTAAAAATACCTGCGTGTTAAAGTCATGTTCAATGTGTGTGGCTTTAAATTTTTGTCTTTACTATTAATATTTTTTTGCAAATCTCATTCCTAAATACAATCTTTTTCTTCAAGTACCAACATTTATCTCTTTAATACCACCAGGTATTTATTTTCATTTGGAGCTGGCAAAAGGAGGAAGAATTAATGGACCAAAAAAATAGAACCTTATTTATTCACTCATTCATTTATTAAGCAAAGATTTTCTGAGCAAGAATATGCTATCTAGATAGAAAAGGGAATACTGGAAAACATGGAGGAAATAAATACAAGTTAAGATATAGTCTCCACAGAATTTACAAGAAAGTAATTTAGAGTTATCATATACGGTATCAAGTTATTTTTTTTCTAACAGTGAAAATAAACATGAAAATGAAAAGTTTTTAAGAGATAAGTTCTTGGGTACATATAAGGATATTTTGAGTGGAATTGTTATGTAGCACTGTATTAAATGTAGGCCCAGAAATAACATTTCGTTCCTCCTTAGAACTTTTTTTTTTTTTTTGAGACAGAGTCATGCTTTGTTGCCCAGGCTAGAGTGAGTGCCATGGCGTCAGCCTAGCTCACAGCAACCTCAAACTCCTGGGCTCAAGCAATCCTGCTGCCTCAGCCTCCCATGTAGCTGGGAATACAGGCATGTGCCACCATGCCCGGCTCATTTTTTCTATATATATTAGTTGGCCAATTAATTTCTTTCTATTTATAGTAGAGACGGGGTCTCGCTCTTGCTCAGGCTGGTTTCGAACTCCTGACCTGAAGCAATCCGCCCGCCTCGGCCTCCCAGAGTGCTGGGATTACAGGCGTGAGCCACCGCGCCCAGCCCCTCCTTAGAACTTTGATAAATTTATTGCAAGGCAGATGGTGGCCTATACCAACAACAAATACTGAAATAATAAAACCCTAAATTACAAAATAGATGTTCACATAGCATGGAATTTCAATTAAGCAGGACCAAACTTACTACATGTACCTACCAGCTTACCTTATCTTCCTCTACCAAGTGTGTTGCATAATATTGAAAGTTATATTTTTCTGGACATATACAGCTTTGTATTGGTAACACATACAGAGGTATGTGTATACACAGTTACATCATTATTTAGGGATTTTTTTTTTTTTACAGTTTGCCTCATACTCATATATAATTTCAACTTCACTTGTTAAAAAAAATGATGAAAGAATTAGAAGGATCACCAATTTGTGACTCTAATTTAGAGAAAAAAAAGAGCTTAAGATGTTGGCCTGTTTATTTCAATGAAGGAAAATCTAAAACCTATCCCTGATATTCAATTTCAGGGTCAATTATGCATTCGATCTGAGTAACTAAAAGTGAGTTTGAGAGACACAGATTAACAAAATTGACCTCTCTGAATTTTGATAAACTTCACTAAATCCTGTTCTGACAAAGCTGTTTCCACCTGAAAGTTTATGAGCACTCTTACAAGTACTAACATGCCTAAGGTGTGACAAACTTATCAGAGTGGGATACAGAAAGGTGAATACTAGAAAATGATTGCATTAAAATTTCCATGGAAGATTTTTTTCCACAAAGAAAAGTATTAACCTCAGCTTTTCTTGCTTTCTTAAGTAAACATATCTTTTTCATTTTACAAATGTACTGGCTATGGATGAGCACTCTCTGAACTGTGACTCTGTAGCATTTTTTTTAACCAGCCACTAATTATTCCCAATATTTATGACTTAAATGACCACAATTAGTAAATAGATCATGACTCATAGCCTGCTTAGAACTAAAGCAGTTAATGTAGAACAACTGTATTTTTCTGACTAACCTCAGAATTATGAAAATAAATACCTGGATCTCTCATTTTAAAAAAGAGATGAGAAGATTAGCATTGGAAAATGTTTACCTCACAACTCTTCTGATCATGAGCAAGTTTGAATCCTTTCTTCCCATCACAATAACAAGAGTAACCTCCAGGGTAATTGATACAAAGTTGGGCACACATGTTCTCAGAGCATTCATCTACATCTGGGGTAAAACAAACACAAATCTTAATATCTCCTAAATGTTCAATCTAAAAGGCAGAGGAATATTCTGATTTTAGTATGAGATATTCAATAATAATAGATCCTTAGGGAAAGAAATTCCTATGACATCAAATCACATTTAAACACTTGACATGGAAATTGGAATAAGTTACAATGTAATTTTTATTCATTTACATACTCGAAACAACAAATTTAATTTATAACTTTCAGCAAGTAATAATAAAAGTATAACAATTATACTAATTTTCTGATTTTGAATTTGAAGAAAAAAAAAGATTAAAAGTCGC